ATAAGTGGAAGATGGTGAACTGCGATGACTCTGGTGACTAGCCCCTCCCCATAAAGGGGACAGGAATTAGAACACACAGAGCCCTTTATACAGTGCCCTGGGGCATGCTGCTGTTTTTGTTCCTTCTCTTTGCCTCTAATGAATTCTGTCAGGCAGCAAGAGCTTCCCTCCCGGGCACACTCACAAAAGCCCAATGGCCACTTGGCAGCTTTGCAAGGGACCTGGGTAGAGATTTGTGCAAGATCCAGGCCTCCAACTTCCCTTCTGCTTGCTCATGTAACGACAGCACCATTTGCTATCTATTTGACTGGGTACGTAGATGAAGAGACAGGCTCAGAAAAGTGGGATCATGTCCTTGCTGCATTCAGCCAAGCTCTGCTTGATTTGGTATTAGAACTGACATCCTCACTGAGATCTTTCCTGCCCGGAGATCCTCTTGTTCTGTGTGGCTGTAGCAGGGATAGGTATGCAATGTAGAGGATCTTCTTTCAAAAGAAAACCATGGGGTCTCTTGTGCAAACAGAAAAAGAGGGGTTGTAGAAAATTCTAGAACAGCTAGGGATATAGCTCAGTTGTGGAGCAATTGAATAATATGCACGAGGCCCTGGATTAGATCCCTAGTATCACCAGGAAGGAAAGAAGGAATGAAGGACACAGACAGGAAGGAAGGAAAGTGGGAAGAAAGGGAAGAAAGAAGGAAGGAGGACAGAAGGAAGGCGGAAGGAAGGAAGGAAAGAAGGAGGGAAGGGAAGGAGGAAGGAAGGTCATAGCATGTAGAACTTTTTGCTTTGCTTCATAATTTTTCTCTCTGTCTCTGTCTCTTTGTCTCTCTCCTTTTACTTTCTGCCATCTGCCTGTGTGGGCTATTGGATACTGTGCTGCTCTGGAACTGTGTTATTTCTACACTGAGAGAACCTCACAGGCACCCAAGATCCTGTCCTTTACCTCAGATGTTCAGCCCACCTGTTGCTAGGGTCCCTCTGACCCTAGCTGCCTGTGATGCCTTACCAAGCCAGTGTATTTGTCTCATAAATCTCTTGCTCTATCCCAAGATATGGTAAACTCCACAGTGGCCTGTGCTTGGTACCTCGAGTGGGCTGGAGGTGTGTTCCCACTGAATGTTCCTCTGATTGCACTGTGGCACTGCCAGCAGGGGATGCGGCAGTTGCCACCACGAAATGACTTGGATTGTGTGCCTGACCCCAATTCTTCTAGGCGTAGAAGCTAACAGTGGTCACTAGGCAGTCTAAGAACACTGAATGAGGATGGGGCCACCAGAGAGCCAACGGTAGAGACAGAGAATCCTGGGAGATAATCAGTGCAGGAGGAGCTGAGGTTCCAAGTCTCTTACCCCATTGTCATGTGGGACTTTACTCACAAGACATTAATTTAAAAGTTATTAAAGATTTCAAGATGCCACTGTAGAGCATTCAGCTGGAGTGTGGTGCCTTTCTGAGTATGGAGACCCTGTGTGTCTGCTCTGATCACTAGCCCAAGAAGTCAGTTCTGGGCTGTGAGGAAGTAAGTAACTGTCAATAAAAGACACCTGAGCCCAACGTGCTCATATAGAGAGAATACAGTCTATATAATAAATTAGTTATTCAGAACAGACTCTAGTCAGTATGTAATGTTTATGAAGTAGTATGTGATTAAATGCCACATTTAGCTTTCTGTATACAGTTACTTTGCAAATCATTGAGCATTTAAATCCCCATCCCCCAGCTCTCCAATTCTCCAGATTTGATTTAGCAAAGATGTACAGTCAGAGCAAGGTGAGGAGGAGACTGCTTAATCCATGACACATGAAATCTTCGATGCACACGATTTTGTCTGAGGGCAAGGCATGTAGGAGACCAACAGAGCCAGCGGCAGGTACGAAAGCCAGAGGGCTGAAGGAAAATCAGTTTGCTTGAGCAGAAAAAGTGGGCCAGAAATGGAAAGGGAGGAGTGGACCAGGCTGTCAGTGTGGGTAAGCTGGCGCCAGTCAAGCAAGAATACCTGGCCACCTGGCAAGAGTGGAAACTGGGATTGGAATTACAGGGGATTATAGCAAGGACCCATCCCAGAGGGGGAAGTGAGTTCTTGGAGGAGGCAGAGGAAACAGCTCATTCCTCCAAGGCTAAGTGGGTGGATCTGGGCTGCACAAGCCATTAAACCCCCACCCTGCTGCTCTGGCACCCCGAGCTGAAGGAGTGAGCTTGCCTTGTTCTGGTTCTGGTTGCTGGTAAAAAACTGACCCATGACGGTCAGAGCAATTGACAGCGATATTTCCCCCAAATGAGAGGACATTTGGCAAGTTGCTCAAGTCCCTCGTCCAGGTCAGAGGGCTTGTGATCAGTAAGCAAAGGACAGTAGGGGACAGCTGGGATGCTCCCTTAGAAGGGGTGGTTCGGGGGTCAGAAGCTTTTATTGAGTTCCTTTGTCACCTCCTCCTCCTCCTGGCCTGGGGGCTTCACCTGGTTCCCAAACCTGACCAGAGACACTGGTCGGGACTGCTCAGCTGTCCTTCCCCCTTGCGCATTAACTGCTTTTACTTACGAACCAGGAACCTAAACGCAGGTAAGTATTAGCAGTTGAAATATAAGCTGTCTAAATGGTTCTGCGAGCCAGCAGAGAGGACCGTTTGCCTGGGATGGAGGGAAGGAACATAGCTGAGGGACTGCACTTAGCCATCAAGCTGCTCTTGTAAATATTTGCCGACGCTCCTTCAGAGCTCAAAAGCCTGGGACAGGATCATTTGGAGATTTGCTTAGAAGAAGTAGAAACAAAATTGACCTCATGGTCTGAGGCAGCCATAAAAAGGAAACGCGTGTGTATGGGCAGAAGACCAGAATGGGGGGGTGGGGATGGTTCAAAGTTTAATAAACACGAAGGAGAATAAAAATAAATCTGGAAAGCACTTATTTACAAACTCAACGAAGGGGAGGACCGTGGCAGAGGGGTGTGAAAGATGGCTGTTTGTGGAAGTAGAATGGGTGCCGGGGGCGGGGCTCCACGTGAAAGAACAGGGGGCAGGAAGATGTTTACACTGGCTGATGACAGGAAACACACAAAGTTGGCCCTGCGCTTCCGGGATGTGCTTTCAAAGGATGTTTGAAGCCTCTGCTGTCTAGCACAGAGGATAAGCGAAGATGAATGTGGCCATACCTCCTGTGGAAGGTTCTGGCCAAGAGAGCGTGGAAAGCCAGGAGCCTGGCCTGCTCTGCCAGGGCGACTAAGCTGTTTTCAGCTGTGCTGCTTAGCACAGGACTAGGAGTCTTAATTGCTGGGATGGGTATATTCCAAGCAAAGAAAAGGGCGATGTTGTCTCGGCAGCTACCTTATAGAATTGCTGTGCCAGGGAACTCCAAAGACGCCCTGTTGGTCTGAGGTCTTCCCACCCTCTCGTCCACAGAGGGCCATCACAGTGTCTCAGTGAATACTTGCATTTCTCCAAAATCTGCTTATTTTGGATTTGTGGGGCTGTTTGTTTGTTTGTTTCTGAGAGTTCTGGTTTGCCAGATACAAAACCTGAATTCATAGGGCAATTGACTTGGAATTCATGAGCCTGAATTTGCAGTCTCAAGGCTATGGGGAGAGATAAGAAAAGGCACCCATGAAGTTAAAACCGCAGAGCTCCTGAAGATGAGGAACTCCACTTGTTTCTAGCTGCCCTCACACTCCAGTAGAATTGTCACAGGTTCGTGAGAGGCATTTACATCAGATGTAAGATCAGCAAAATGGCTAGTTTAGTAAGTTAGTGTTGTCAATAGCCAGATACCTGACTCCTTCAAGACTCCCATTGATGATCAGCTAAGCAAACAGATCTTTGGGGAATTCCGTGCCTTCGTGAACCCTGCCCTGAATATGTAGGGGGTGGGAGGGGGAAGAAATTCCTTGCAAATAGTCTCTGCTTTCCAGATTTTTACAGTTTCACAGGGAAAGCAAAATAAACAAACACAATGCAGAAACAACCAACATATTTAAGGAGAAACATAACTGTGAATGATGATGTTGTAATGAGGCCTTGTGAATGTTCGAAGGGCAGAAAGAAGTACAGCTTCTAGACTAGATGGAATATTCTGGAATGGGGAAGGTAAATTCACAGGAAAAATTTGGAAGGTTATAGAAACACACTCAGAAAAGCCAGTGGTCTCTTGGCCCAGTGTTGGTGCTTAGCGAATGTTGGGGGTGAAATCAGAGAAGCAAGACAGCCTGCTTGGGTCTTAGGGTAACCTCACTTTCATATTCAAGGGCAATGATCATTGCTAGAAAATAATAGCAAAATTCTAAGCAACGCATGGTCTTGAAATTGTTGTGTATGATCACAAATGCTGTCTCCTACAAGGCTCCAAAATAAAGGGATTGGTACTTTCTTCTCTTATAGCTAGGATCACCTTCCACCTACCTGCAGATTATGTTACCCAAGAGTTTGAGGGCTGGACCAGGCAGGGGTAGTTTGTGGGTCTATTTTTGTTTTTCAGATTTCTTTACCATAACTTGGTCATATGCGTTGAAAACCTAGACTTTAAAAGTAAAAAATGACTCAGTCTATGAGGCTGAATAGGAGTGGAGTATTTGGAGCCAAACTTTCAAGGAAAAAAACACACGGGCAGAAGGCTTGCCATTTAGGAGCTATTTTCTTGGCATATCTGATTAAAGTGTATGCAAGCCCGGCAGCTCTCTCCAGCCATCAACTGTCATGAACTTGTTCCAATTCGTAACCATCTAGGGTTTTCCACTGGTCTGTCAGCCTTCAAAAGACAGGGTTAACTGCTTGCTTTCAGACGTGGTTGGAAATGGTTTGTTAATCGTTCTTAATCTGCTTCTCCTGGAACTAAACACACATGTTGATTTTCGTTTTGTTCCTGGTTAAATTGTTAATGGTATTAAATTGGCCATTGGAAATGAAATTCTGTAGACACTTCCCATATGGCTCCTTGGGACTATCGCACACTGTGGTCTTTCTTGAGAGCATGGTAGGTTTAATCTTTCTCAACCGTTGCCCTAACTTTTTACAGATGCCATCCCGCCCACTTTCTACAGACCCTACTTCAGAATTGTCCGCTTTGATGTCTCAACAATGGAGAAGAATGCTTCTAACCTGGTGAAGGCAGAGTTCAGAGTCTTTCGTTTGCAGAACCCCAAAGCCAGAGTGGCTGAACAACGGATCGAACTGTATCAGGTAACCGTTGTTTGCATTGCACAGTGGGGGAAGTACTTTCTGCTGTTAGGATTTTCTTCGATACCTGTGTGATGTGAGTCCTGCTTTGTCCTTAGTCTTACCCAAACTGCGGGTCCCTCATCGCTCAGCGAGGAAGAGCCACAGCAGGGGGCACCAATGCTGCACACTCTCCCTCAGTTGTGTGAAGGACTGGAGTACCCACCTTGGGAGACTTTAGTCCGCAGGTCAGGCCTGTGGTCTGGAAAGCCAGGATGCACAGGCCAGACCACCCCAAGCAGGGCAGCTGAGCAGGATCTCCTCCTTTCCCCTTTCCTTCCCTCTCGCCTTTCCCTCACCTCCTTCCTCCCCGCCTCTGCCGTTCCTCCTCATCTCCTGTTTACCGCTAACCTGTCTGGTTCTCAGCTCACTGCCTCCTCCCGGTCTCTGGCTAGCCCATCCCTCCATGTACTGCCATCGAGCCCCCATGCGCATGTGCAGTTCCACATTGTGCTAGTCGCCCGACGTCTCCCCTCTCACCTTGTCAGTAGAGCTGCTGGGCAGCTGTGTGAAACACAGATGAAGAACGGGGCTCCTGAGATTTCAGACAAACCGACTCGGAATCAAGTGACTCAGGTGACGGCTGTGGGGCTGAGGCCCGAGTGACCCAGGAGCTGTGAGAAACGCAGACACCCGTTCCCGACCCACTCCATTTTAAGGGGGTCCTCAGTAAGATTGCCCTATATATGCACTGTGAAGCTGTTCTGTAAAGCCTTGCATCTGGTGAGGAAGGCAGATGTGCAAACACACAGCTATAAAGTCACCATGTCGTGTGAACAGCATGTGCAGGTGTAGAGGGCAGAGCCTGGGAACTCTCAGCAAGAAGGCAGTGCTCAAAAAAGGCTTCCAAAAACACCTTAGAGCATATTAAAACAAGGTGAGGGGTCATTCTGAGCAGAAGCAGCCATGTAGTGATAGGCATTCCAATTTATTTTGTATGTATTTATTTATTTTTGCAGTGTTGGGAATCAGACTCAGTGTATGTGTAGTATGGGAATCAGTCCTTGTGTATGTTGGGCAAGCACTCTACCACTAGGCTAAATCATCAGCTCCCAACAACAGACTTGCATGTACCTATGATAAGGTGTTCCAGTTGGAAAGAGCAGGAGAAGGTGGCCTCCAGGCAGAGTAGAGACATAATGTAACAGAGAGATGGAAGGAGGTTAAGACCAGATCACCTCGTTAGCAGTGTGTGTCACAGGGGCACTCACTTGAAGAAAAGAAACAATTGATATCTGGATGCAGAAACTTCGTTGTTCTGGATTTTAATTATTTGGAAAATTGGATGATCAAGATGAGGATTTTTTCTCATATTCATTATGAAAATGGGATATTACTGTACTTGGACGTGCTATGTGTGAATTCGTGAGAATATATGAATAGATCTTTTTGTTTGTTTGTTTTTGTTTTTGTTTTTGTTTTTTTGAGACAGGGTTTCTCTGTGTTGTTTTGGTGCCTGTCCTGGATCTCGCTCTGTAGCCCAGGCTGGCCTTGAACTCATAGAGATTTGCCTGGCTCTGCCTCCCGAGTGCTGGGATTAAAGGCGTGCGGCCAATAGCTCTTAAGTAGGGATGAGGAAGGAGTGGTGGAGGGGGCATGTAGAGCTGTTTCTTTTTTGCTAGACTAGACCCTTTGTTAGAGTGGGTGTTTGCATCTTCACATGTGTTCCCAGAGCACACAGTGGGCAGCGCATGCCTCACAGACAATGCTGATTCAGCCGGACGTCAGAGCAGTACATGTCTGTGTCTGCGCTCCTGAGTGCTGTGGCCACTTCAGCAGAGGTGTCACGTGACCACGGTGGACCACGACCCTTGCCCTGTCTACCTCCTTTCTCCACCTTATACAGAAAGATGCTAAATTGAGTCTCAGAGAGATTAAGTGACAGGTCAGAGTCACAAGGGTACTAAGCGGCAGGCATGAGACAGGAATCTGTTTCTGACTTTCAAGGCTCCTGGCCATTTCTTTCCTGCTCATGGCAAACTTTAAAGATCCTTTCCTCTGTCCCCTGTGTCCTGGTTGGGTGTTTTGTTTGTTTGTTTGTCTTGATTTTGTCAACTTGACTCAAGTGCGAATTATCTGAGAAGAGGGGACCACAATTGAGAAAATGCCTCCATAACATTGGTCTATTGGAAGCATGTGTGGTGTTTTCTTACTTAGTAATGGATGTGGGAGGGCCCAGCTCACTGGGGGTGGTGCCACCTCCTGACCAGACAGTCCTGGGTGATAGAAGAAAGCAGACCGAGCAAGTCACGGAAAGCAAGCCAGTATGTTCCCCTGTGGCCTTTGCTTCAGTTCTTGCCTCCAGGTTCTTGTCCCCAGTTCCTGCCTAGGTTTCCCTCAGTGGTGTGTGACCTGGGAGCGTCAGATGAAATTAACCCTTTCCTCCTCCAAGTTCCTTTTGGTCATGGTCTTTATCACAGGGAAAGAAATCAAACTAATACACTTTGGTTAGAGCCAGAAGAGAAGAAAAAATGAGGAAACTGGTCCAGGGAGTTGGGTGAGAATTGGAAGGTCAGCAAATACTGGCGTCTGTGAAAAGCCAACAGGGAAGTTAAAGGCGTCCAATAGATTTCAATGTGACCCAAAGAAACAAATATGTCTACACTCTGAGCATCTCCTTTCTTCTTTAATTTGTTTTTCAATGAGATCACTAATGTTCTGCTGTGCTGAGGATAGAATCTCTTCAGTGCTGTTTTGGGATGTAGCTTCAGCCAGTTGAAGTTGAACTCTTTAAGATCTTGTTGCCTGCAATGCACCCTGCTGAGCTGTTCTCTGGCCCCCTAGCCTCATGCTTTGATGAATGACCTCTGACAGTTGGCTTGCTGAGGACTTCTTTTTCTCCCAGGGGCCATCTCACCTCCATGAAGGGACAGGTTCCAGGAGGCTGGTCCTGTGGAAGACCTTAGTAAGCTCTTGATGGGTGTGTCCCTTCTCAGAGATCCCCACAGCATTGGCTGCTCATGATGTGAACAACAGATACAAATAGACTGGAGTCACTTGAATAGAAAAGAGAATAGAAAAGCTCAAGAAGAGAGTTTAAGCTTCCAGTTGAGAGGACTGTGAGTAGGGTCCACGGTTACCATAGCATCACCGCACACGGGAATCCCAAAGAGGACATTTCTAGCAGAAAAGTCAGGGACAGTAGCAACCTCTAAACTGACAGGAACTCAACTATGCAACACTCTTGCCTTTCAAAACTGCCAAGGCCCAGAAAGCAAAGAGACTCAGAACCTCAATAGGAAGATAAATCCCTCCATGGCTAGATCATCAGAAGGCCGCCTTGGCCATTATTCATTTGGATTATGAATTGCTAGTTAAGAACGTGAATGAGAAACATGGAACTAGACAAGGAGGAAAGTGGACGAAGCCCCAACAGCTATGATGACCCTTTGGTCTTGAGATTTTTACCAGTACAACAGTGATGCTGGTCAGAAAACCCAGCGAGGTCTGCAGAGGACCATTTACTTAAAACCTACCCTGTATACAGCCCACCCCACGTTTGTCCCCTTGACGCTCCAGCCGTCCTCTGACTTCTGCTTCTGGACCCTTTACCGGAAGCCCTGTTTCTCCTTATTGTTCATCATCTTTCCCCTTTAGTTGTCACTGGGGTAGGGAGGGTGGCAGTGTCTTTGCAGCCTTTGGTCATGTTGTTTTCAGCCTAGCATAGCAACTGATGTTTATGATAATGGCCTTGAACTGCAGCAGTGAGGCTAAGTTACAGGAATAGAATTGAACACATGTAATAGATTTATGAGTTTTTATCTAAACTCATTGAAATATCATTTTGAAAAAGAAGAAAAAAATGGTTTTGTGCTTAAATGGGAAGATCTTAAACTATTTGAAAATTTTGGTTGTTCTGAGATCAAGCCCTAAAGTTTCTGGCTGTCCTTTGATTACCGTGTCTTCTGATAATCTGCTTCCTAGAGGACTGTGTGTGACTCTGAGGCAGTGGAGAATTGATTCCTGGAAGACACATTAAGATACACTGAGATTCTTCAGGGCACTGTGCAGAAGGGTGTGTGTGTGTGTGTCCCTACATGTTCATAACCTACTAATGCACACCTGTGTGTAAATTAGCATGTGGATCCAGTTATTTCCCAACATGTAGTCCTTTGAAGAGCTTTGCAAAAGAACTACTCAAGATTGCCTTCTTGGAGATTCCGCTTCTTCCTGGGAAGAAAAGGGGCAGTTCCTTCTGGACCCAGGTGGTTTCCAGAAGGTCTCCTCATGGTTGAAGTGTGATAGCCCAGAGCTTGGGACCAGGAGCTTCCCATTCTCACTTGGGAAGCAGCTTGTTACAAATTAGCTAATTAGCTGCAGACTAGCGAGTCAATTTTTATATCACTTCCTCCCCTGAGCTACTGGGGTGATGTACTGAGTTCTTATAAAATGCAGCTTCAAAGGAAAAACTGCCAAAGTGTCATCTCCTCACGTGGAGTTGATGTGAAGTGACCAGGAACACTTCCAGATAGCCTAATGATAGAGCCCTGTGAACCAGCGGGTGGTGGGCATGCTCAGAGAAAGTAGACACAGTGCGTTTAGGGGGAATGGCGACTCTTGATCATGGACGTCCAAGGTGCTGACACCATTCATTTTTATAGGGGTCAAAGACACACAGCTTTGGTGCCACCACGAACTTAGCATGAGGGTGCCCCTCTCAAGTGGACTCCGTCAGAATTTGGACAGCAGGAAAACCAAAGCTGTCTTCTCACTTTCTCCCACCTCCTCCCTCCTCTGTGAAACATAGTTTCTAAAGGATCCAGCTCTCCACCGCCTGGGATCTCACCACTGAAGGAAAGCAGGGGCGAAGCCATGAAACAGTGGCTCCGCCATAAATCATTGATATCCATTTAGTTTTTCACTTCATGCTGTAGAAGGTATTAAGCTGTTATATTTGAGGAGGAAATGGAGAACCGATGTTTGTGGAGCAAAATAATCGAACTATTTTAGTAGTGAAAGCAAGT